TTTAAAAAATTGATCTATCTAAGAATATATGAAATGTACTTTGTTTTATACTTTAGTTTTTTTATTAAATTTTATTAAATAAGTTAATGATTCTTTTGCACAGCATCATTCGAATGTCCGAAATATTTTAAAAGTTGAGAATCTCTGGTGTAATATATTTTTGCGGTGTATTGTGTTAAGCAAAATGTGATTAATCGTTTTATTAACACTTTTTCACGTTCCTAATCAATTACCATAAATATCGATAAAGCTCTTAAATTATCGTTAATAATCAATAATGGTTCCGCGCGAATTAACGAATGCATACTTTAACATTTGGATGTTGATATTCAATTAAAATATCATTTATAATTTGTTTGACGGCTCGTTTGCCTCGTGACGTCACGCCGAAAGAAGTCGCAGCGAGTTCTTCTGACGTATGAGCCGTGGGGAAGATTTGCCTTTATACGAATCGGTGACGTTAACTTTTCGCATCCTTGCCGTCACATTTCAGATATAAAAAATTTTCTCTAATTTGTGAAATGTTTAAGAAACCAGAAATATCTGGAATCCGCTCGAAGATACATTGCATCGTACAGCAGTATTTACAAAAACAATGTAAATATCATATTTTATATTATTTAAATATTTCTAAATTTATCTCTCTTTCTATACACATAAAATTATCAGAGAGAAACTGGAATTTTCCAATACAAAGACGGAAAATTGCTAATCGAGTGAATATTATAAAGAATTGTTATCTTAAAACTAATTTTTGCATTCAAATAGTTAATCAAATTTATTGCTGAAATTGAGTTAACGTGTCCAAGTTTTTTAATTATTAGGATCCAATAAAATGACAATTAAAATATTTTAAAGTATTTACGTATTTTTTTTAATAACTATTTTTGTCGAGGGAATAAAATAAAAATAAATCGTATGAGAAAACGTCGAATTAAAATTCAATAAAAATAAAAAATAAAACTAAATTTTAAGAATACATTGAGAACCATTACTGCGTCAAGTGTAAGTTCAATTTCCTTCAATATTTACACTGTATTATGTAATTATATAAATGTGCCGTGAAATCTCGTGACTGGACCCAGTCACGGGACAGACATGCTTTTCGCACTACGCGCCAGCAATGAGATTTCAAGGTAATCCCGTTGTTTTGCGGCATTTTAATCGGTCACGTGCTTTCAGTTGATCTGCCAATCTGATAACATGCTGGTGCCAGAGAGCTTTGCGGTTCGACAATAAATCCATATCGAACCGACCCATATAGAGATACGGGAAGAATGTTAGGCATTATAGACGTCGAATGACACGTCAGTTTCCACGGATATCTTTTCACTTCTCTTTTTTTCTTGTTTCTTTTTCGATCATATTTTCGAATAAAAATTTGCCGTCAAGATATATAAAGATGTGTAATATTTTATTTTAATTTTATCTTTAAAATTTCGAAAGAAACAAAGAGATAAAAAACAAGATAGAAAGAGAGTGATAAAAATTGAGTAAATAAAATTATCTACTAATAAAGAATTACAAAATATAAATAGCTTTCGAATATTTAAGTGAGATTGTCAAAATAGATTGTTTTTATAGCAACTTTTTTCTAACGTTAACTACTAAATATATTTTGATAGTAAGAGAAATTCTATTTTCAACACACTAAAATTAATTCATTCAAAAATAGTAAACTAAATAAAGAACAAGGTTCTTTATCTATCTGCAGTCCCGATTTTAATATTTAAAAAGGCTCCCGCCTGCATACATATTTACTACGTTTCCTTCTTGGTTTATTAAGGGAAGACTGTTTCTCTCTATAGCTAAATGGATTAAACAATATTAATTAAATAATTACATATCGAGATGTACCGAGTATCTCGATACAAGCAACGCACAGTTTTCAGACTCTTACAAACGGACCAATTTACGGTAATCAACGACCTGTCGATCACTCTAATTTGTCAAATATTTTATGACGCATATCGTATTAAGTACGGAGAAAAATTGACGTAACGAGTATCTAAGCGAAAGCACGTGCCACAAATTTCGCGCATAAACAGCGATTAGGCTGGAGTCGCCTTGGAATCTAATGCGTCAAACAAATCGACGTAATATACGACCCCACGTGTAGAGAACTTTGTATATTTCGAATAATAATTAACGGGGAGAAAGATAGACGTAATTATTATTGACGAATTAAACAGAGCGGCATTTACTCGTAGAGCCTCTCCTGCGAGCCTTTAATATTCCTGCAAGAACAAATACTTTTATCGCTTATCTCGCGCGGCGCGGCTCTCACTCTCTCTCTCTCTCTCTCTCGCGAAGATTGATCTACTGAACTATCGAACTTCCGTCTCGTCACGCGTCGCGTCGCCGAGATACCGCCTCCTTAAAATCGACTTTCGACTCGCGTTTCCTTGACGGCTTGCAAGTTTAATACGGTTTAGCATGACGTTTTATTGGAGATGCTACATACATATGTGATAATTGCAACCTTGAATTTGATATATTGATTTCTGCGGTATTATTCTCGTTTTTTTACACGCAACGAGAAAAACCTGCGACCGCAACGTTGCTCAATGCAAAAAAATCAGCGTCGTTTATCTCTCGGATGAATTTTCCCGTAAAACAGAACACCGCGCTGAGAACGCGCGAAGTGTTTGCAGGTTTGGCTGTCTTTTATAGCTTTAGCGATTGACTAAAATTTAATTAAGCCTTTCGCCTAATTAGCATGTATTTTATTGTCGTCTTACGTCGTCTCCATTTCTAATAAATGCAGGTACGTCGGGGCGGAAATGTCATTCGTTCAGCGGGGAATTCCCGCGGGGAATCACACATGCAACGCGTCTGACAAGCTCAAAAACCCACAGGGACGGTTGCAGGAAGGCAGTAATGATGGTCATGAAGACATGACACGTCACGTGTTGTGGATCTAATGTTTGCGTGCTCTGCTCGCGAAAGTCATCGCGGCGCGAATACCGATTCTCAATATCTATCACGTGCAACAGTTTATTCAATTGATTTTATATGTAACTGTTTCGATAACGGCGTTATTTTGGCTAGTCCCGTGTCCAATATCCAATTTACAATTAGCGCAAAATTATCATCGCGCAAACAATTTTCCATTGATATTTTTGCTATCCGCATATTGCTTACGATCGCGATTATCGTGATTCAATACGAACAATATCATCGCATGAATAAATTTATTAACATATTCTACACGTAATAAACTACGTAGCAGTTTATTAACGTAAATAAGTATGTTGTTGTTTCTACAAGGTATTAGTTTAAAGACTTTTTCTATGTTTTTCAATCAAAACCGATCGAAGTGCGGTTGAACGTTTAATAGTTTTGATAGATGCACAATTATTCGTTACGTCTATTAATTATTCACGTGATCAAAGTCAATAATTTATAGCTTAAAGTTTTATGCCGATCAATTATCTGGATAGATATTGATCGTATAAAAAATTTTACGTACATCAACGACTTTTCTTGTTGAACGGAATAACAAGGAAAAATAAGAAACTGGGTTTTTATTCCGTATTTTTTAAAATGCCGAGAGGCACCAATAAATAATGATGCCATATGTACACCTATTATATATCTAATCCCTTGCGATGCCGTACTTATTTATATGCTTCATACTTAATTCGAAAAATATAACTTCGATTCAAAGTGAATACGAATTATTTATTCTTATCATTAATTTTATCCATTTATCTCATCTTTGAAAAGTTTTAAATTTGAACAACGAGATGTCTATTCGTAATCGCTAGGAATTAAGATGCTGAACAATAATAATCGTAGTAACGCACGGCCGGAAATTGTTAATTCTTTAATATTCGCAACATGTTATGTACAATAAGCACGTTTATTTGCGCTCGTTTCGCCAAATCGTTTCGTCAAACGTTGGATAAGATTACATTGCTTGGCAAGTTATCAAATTCTATTAAATACATAGACAATGACGTTTATCGTATATTTTCTTAAAGATTACACCTGACAAACAATAAAATGGAAATTGACATTAAAACAATAAATGATAAAATGAATGATAAAAGAAATCAGTCGTATTATAAACGGACGCGTATCGCGAGTGAGAATGATTCTAAAAATTTTGTCAATGAAATATAAGCGTGGAAAGCTTTAATAATAATTAGAATAATATGCACAGTCCAACGATTAATATATATACCTGACTTTATTTCTAAAGAAACTGCTATAATTATTATGAAAATCTAATAACTAAAAATTACTGTAAAATTATGAAAAAAATTATTTTATTTTGTTCACAAAATACTTATTTTTATTTTAATACTTCTTTTATTTTATTCACAAAATTTCTCTAGCATTAATAGAACGAGTGGTACTGTCGGTTGGAACGATTTACGAAGATCCCATTTCGGTATGGCTTCTAGGTATAAGATTGTCATGGATTTTTATACATTTCCGATATCTCCGGAAAGTTTTCCCTTCAAGTTTGGAGACAAAAGTTCGGAAGTTAAATTAAAAGAGCGCGGACGAGAGTGAATAACGTATTGCTCCCGAATCGAAAATAGGGATCTCGTCGCTCAAAATCGAAACTTTCCAAAGATGAGATAAATGGATAAAATTAATTATAAGAGAATAGATAATATTGATTCATATTAAACTGATGTTATACTTCTCGAAGGCAGTGTTAAAGTATAAGTGCAAAAGCACAAACTCCTCGAAAGCTGTACCGCAAGCGGAGCCAATGCCAAAGGAAAAAAAATGTACCATAAATAAAATAACTTTACCACAATCATTGTAATTAAAATAAAGTTTCGTTGTTGAATCGTCAGTACATTTAGCAAAATAACGATAAGATAATAACATCGAAATGCAAAAGGGTGCGAATAAAATGATGCAATAATGTTACTTTATCGTATCAAAATTTCAAAGGAATTTGTGATAATCCAGCATTCTCTCTTCAAGAGAACCATTTAAAAAAAAAAAGGAATCAATTTCCTTGCTCTATCTCTTACCTGATAGTACTTGAGTTATCTCAAAGTCGGGCCAGTCGAACACGTTGCCTTACTTGGAAAATTTGATTTCCGGACGTCCCGTCGTAGAAGAGACTGCTTGGAGCGGGATGCACTTGCGTCACTCGGGATTCCACGATGTACGCAGAGGACATTCAACTTTTCGATCAGATACGAAACGCGTCCACTGTCGTAATACGAAATCGTACTGACGACTGTCGTGTTTGTTTACATCGTACTAGTCCATCCTGTATTTATGCCTGCCTGGTTTACGTGCTTGATCCTCCATTTAAACTAAATAACAGCAACGTAGCTGAATAAAGTAAACTCTATCTAAAAAAAAAAAAACTGTTTTTCATCTTTACTTTTGTTAATAAACTCGTTATTAACAAAAGAATTCTCATCAATCAATGAGCGCGTAAGATAAAAATGTAAATCTCGAATAAAATGAGAATACTCACGGTGAAGCAAATTCAAACATCGCAATGGAATCGAAACGCTTCAATTCTTTATAATATGACTATTAACAATGGTGACTAAAATATCCACGTGTTGTTTTATTAATACTGCTATAATCATTGTGAAAAAGTTAAAATTATTTAGTTAAATATTTTAATCAGATAAATTGAAAAACTTGAATACTTCGATCAATGGCAATTACTCGTAAACAAGAAAAAAAAACTGCACATACATTCGTCGTAAACAGATGAATCGACGTGGCAAATATATTATCAATCACTTTAATTTCTCTTCGTCGCACGTTTGCGAGTTCGTGCTGCTATTCGCGGCTCTGATATCCTTCATTCTTTTCTGAATTACTCAGCGCGATTCTTTTAAAATATTTGCTCGAATATTCGTAATTCGCGGGAGCAAACTTTCCCTTCGTTTCGCACGTGCTTCCGCGCGAGGAGTATCGAGAATTTCGCGAAAGTGTTTGTATTATTCTTATCTTCGCGGCTGCGAGTTAACGCTCTCTTCCCCTTTTTCCTCGTCGCGGAACGGAATCTTTTCCCCGCGACACGTCCACGTGCGTCCACGCAGTTACGAATACGATTGACACTAATCCGTCTCGTGAAAGACGTATAGCTGCGTGAATTTATTTCGCAGAAGTCCCAGATTGGGAAATGATAATTCAATGGAGAACGCTATGGGTAATGCGATGTAAAACCGTTTTTCCCTATTTATGTGTGTCACAGGATAAGTGGACTTTCCTTATGCGCTGAGTAATCGTTGCTTTTAGAGGACAGCCGTTCGAATGGTGGAAATATCACGTATCGAGTGTGTGTGTGTGTATGTGTGTGTGTTTGTGTGCGTGGGGGGAGGGGGAACACCTGTAAGGTAAAATGTTTTCCTGTAAAAACGGGAATGTCGGATCGGATGATTGATACGGCGATAGTAAATACACTAGAATATTTAGGTACGAGTAGCGTATCTTAGATGTTGATAACTCATCGATCGTTTAACTGGCAGGTTTGATCATGAAACTATCGCATGATAAACTGTGTAAGACAAATATTCCTCGTGGTATAACACAAAAGCAGTCGCAGCCCCGTAAACATTATTAATTCCTGCCATTTTAATTTAACGCGAATTCTATAAAATAAAATCTAAAATTCACTGATGGTCGAGAGATTGAAATATATTGCACAATGTTAAATATATGTTAAAACATATCGTTTCGTGTATTCTTCATCTTCCTCGAAAGTTCTAATTATCTCCGGAAAAAAAATTTGCGGGAGAAATAATATAAAATTTGAATTAATTTCCGAATCAATTTTGAAAAATGATGCAACTGCTCTCGGATCTTATACAAAGTGATTCTCCCTTAATTATATATGTATATGTGTATAGATTTCGTAGTATCCATAATAAAATGAGCGCAAAGTTTTATGTGAAAATATAACATGTACTTGTATGATCGTCTATGTTACAATATGTATAAATAGCTTATTAATAATTTTCATCATTTTGCGTATTACATAATTATCATTCTAATATCAGACCTCTTAATGCGCCAAGATTTTGATTTAATATCTTTGAACCGCTGTTCATTCATTAGCTCCATTATATTGCTATTTCCCCTTTGCTCATAATTAACGAATGAGTATCTCTCACATGCACGTGCTTTTATGCACAGCGGTAAAATCGTTTAACAACTGCCATTGGCTTTGGCGACTTCGTACATCGCGTCCGAAGGTTTATTCCTCGCGCGACGCGGCGAATATTTTAATAATAATATCGTAGGTGCTTATATACACACGTGAATCATTCATCTTTACATATTTCACCCTGTACAATTCAAAGTCTTCGATGTAAAGTTAATAAAAAGATGTTCGAAAACGTTATGTACAAATCTTCAGGATTTCTTCGAATTATATGGACTTCTGGAACAACCTGCATTAGAAATGTAGGATGTTCGTATTAGTTTTGCAGAATATTGTCGCATTATAAAAATTATCCTTAATATCAGGACAAAATCAAGGCCTTATAATCAACGGCCTTAAAAATAAGATCTCTTTGAAGTAATAATTATATAGTATACGGAATACTCTCTTACTCTGCGTGAAACATAATCGAGTAATATCTTTCGTCTTGCTTGGTCTTAAATAAAAACAATCCATTTGGTATGTGAAATACACGGTGAAGTGGACAGCCTTAGCTTTCGAAGTTCTCTCGTGAAGCACCCTTAAGAGATCGTGCAAGCGCTCTGCGGCGACGTGTCCTCCGTGACGTTGAGATTATTATTGTAACTTCCGTGAAATACCGACTCCTCGGCGGCCAAGAGTGATTCGTGCGAGCGTTCCTCTTCGAGCGGAGCCGTGTTGGAGGCGTGACTGATCGAAGAGTGCCTCGAGCGGGAGAGAGTGCCGCGCTGATTGCTGCCGGCGGACGGAGCCGGACTCGGCGAGGGGCTTTCCGGTATCTGTTCCTGTTCCTGCTGTTGCTTGATTATCACCAGTCGATTCAACAACGATATCTGGCTTTGGATGTTGGACATGAAAGGACGGTATCCCAAACTGAAATCCGAATATGTCAGAAATCGGGATCAATATTTAATTATAATAATTAAGTTGTAGAAATGATAATGAGTGTAAGTTTAAGATCGTATAAATGTTGCGATATCAACGTATGTTAATTATCGATATTTTCTAGCAACAAGTCATATTTTATAAGTCACTCGTTAAAAATTTAGGAAAATATTTTTGCAAAAAAAAAAATAAATAAATTCTTGTTAAAGCAAATAGTTAAATTTTCAATGTTTAAAAGATAGCATATATATACGTTGTACGAAGATACATACACGTAATAATACACACATACCATTCTGAATGAGACCACTTGGTCAATGTAAGCAATCCATCTCTTAGATTGATTATAGAGTCGAAAGTTTGCATCGGTGCATGTGCCGTTCTGACAGTTCTAGCCATGGCCGCCGCGTCTCGAAGGACGGTAGCTACTACCGCAGCCCATCCTAGACAACTACCTTCAAGAAACAGCTGCAGTAAATACCTATAAATTTACAAATTTAAAAATAAATACACATAACATATAAAAATGAATTTTAATTTTAATTTTAGCGTAACAAAAAATATTCGCACCTGAGCTGCACTTCCGCCCGACCGATAGGTGCGGAAGTCAATGAGGCTGGATTGACTTCTGTAGCACTCACCGACTCCGGGGAGACCCAGCATACGGAGCCAACCATGGATTCTGCATCGTCTCGCCATATTGTACTAGTATCACTAAGAACACTGTTGGCATCTGAAATTATAGAAATGCAAGAGAATTATTAGTGTACAAAAATCTTCCGTTATTTACAAGAATAAAGACTTGAATCTACTTCAAAAAGTTTTACATGAACAGGAGTTTATTAAAAATAAACCTTAAATAAAATATGTATGACTCACCATTTATCAGATTCGGCGTTAATTTGGCTTCCGCGGTTGGAAATTGCGTCTCTAAGCTGGCGACGGGGGAGACCAGCGATGTATACGGTGGCCTACCGCTTGGAAGACTAGTGTAACCACTGTCAGGTACGTCAACAACAAAGTTCGGCGACAGGGTCTCGTCGTCGGATATTATCGAGTGTAGCGAGGTCAGGCTAGATCTTCGAAATCTCTGCAGCGTTGGCAACGAAAGCGTCGGGTATGGAAACACAAAGTCCTCGTGGACTGCCTTCAACGTGCCCACGTAATCGTCGATTTTTGCTGCTCTGTCGCGCTCTCGGGCGAACCATGTCACTAAATGAAAATCAAGACGGGCCGCGAATCTACCCAAGTCGGTCAAGCGGCGAGCCGAGAGCAGCCGCCGGGCGTGACGTTGCAAAATGACGTCGATGAAGAACTCCTCCGCCGATCCTTCCCTGAAAAAAAAAATAAATAAATTTCATTAGTTTTGGCAGCAAATTTCATTGATTTCAACAGCGAAAGAAAATATTTCTGAGATAAGAATTTACATAAACTAAAAATTTTCTAAATGTCTAAAATATTAAATATTCATATAATTTTATAATCCACTTTCACATGCAAGGAAAAAATTGGACACTTACTTGTTTTCAGTTTTCTCGCTAGTTTTTACTGTCGGAACCGACTTCTTTCGCCTCATAACAACGTTTCGGGTTTTCTCGAGCATGGAGGACGGCGCGACATCTTTCTCGGATTGCACTTTGGGCGTAATCGTGGTGCTGTAACTGCGGCTCCTCGAAACTTGCATAGTGCCCAAGACCAAGGCCAGATCGTCCTCGTGCGGAGAAAGAGGAGGTGTCTGGGGAGGGCCCACCAATTTCGCACTGCCACTCCACGACGTACGTGGTGACTCCACGTCATTTGGATCTAAATTAATAAAAAAATAAAAATAAAAAGAAATTAATAAAGACATAAATTAAAAAATAAAAAGAAATTTAATGTTAATTTTACAAAAAAATACAAATATATTTATAAAGATTTATTTACCGATTGCTCTAAGGAATCTCACGAGATCCCTCGACAGCTCCCATCGACCTTGCTCTAGCGCGGCGTCCAACAATAACGTAGCGTGCTGCCGGCTGACGGAGGATGGCTCTAAATTCTGTAGAATAATTAGATAACTGGCGGCGGTGTCGAGTTGCTGACGCTGCAGACAATCTTGCAGTAGCTTCTTCGGCGGACCGGCGACGGAGAACAGATACGGCCAGAGCGCGATCTCGGTCTTGCGAGCGCATTGCACGACGGCTCTGGCCCAAACACCGGGAAACTCGCGGATAAACTCCACGACGGACGGTAACTGAGCATCCGGAATTGGGTCCTTGCTCGTCGCTTCCTCCTCGAGGACCTCGTGAAGCAACAGTTCCAACGAATGCGGGAAGTACGGCAATGCCGAGCACGAACGCGCTATTTCCCACGCGTGATAGCCCAAGTTCCTGTGTATCAATTGACGTAGAATCTGATGCAGATATACCTGACTCTGAAATACAAAAAAAAACCATTATATTTAAATTACATAACAAAAAAAAAAATTTTAAATAACGTTTTCATATAATTTTATATTTAGAAAAAAATAAAGTACCGTAAGCTCCAATAAATTGAAGGGCAGTGAAAAGGGCGAGTTGGTATCCGATGTGAACAGCACCGTGTCGTTCTCGGCTCCCAGTAGAATCGCGTCTTCGAAGAGTATCGCCAGTGGGTAAATGCGCAAGTGAAACGGTAGCATTATCCGCTTGCTCATGAAGGCATGCGCCTTCTCCTGATGATTACGGAATAGCGGCAACCAAACTCGCATGCCGTGAGCCCCGCAGAACAGCCAGAGAGCCTCGGTCAAATGCGGCTTGTCCCTCCTCGAGCGCGACGGCACCCAAACGTTCTCGACGTAGGACGCTAACACCGTCGGCGCGCCGCACGTGAAGAGTACCTCCGAAGTGTCGGGAGAGTGCTCACGTTGTACCATGAGAAGACGCCCGGAGACGTTCAGCAGGAGACTCTCAGGATGAGGATGACTGCCGGCGGTCTCCGCGCGAATCGACGTCAGCGTGGCGCTCACCACGCAAGCGGGATGTACGCACAGTCCGCTGATATCCACCGTTTGTATTCTCGTTAGCTCGATGCCGCCGGCTTCTAAAATAACAGCAATTTCGTTGAATGAGAATTTCGACTGAAACTTTTCAAAAATCAATTTTTGAATGTAGAAGCAACCTCTTGGTACTTACCCAAGTCATTTTGCAACATCATATCGTAGATGCTAATTTGAGCATTGGCACAGAAAGTCAAAAGTCTGTCTTTGGTCGTGTTCAACAGCAGCACCTGCGAGGGCATCTTGACGCTCTTGACATAATTATTATCGAGCCGCGTGTCGCGCGGGTAAATTCTAATCTCGTCCTTATCGTCCAATATGGAATAACTGCTGGCTATGAGATATCCTTTATGCCACAGCAGTCCGCCAGTCACTATGAAGTCCCGCTCTTGGCTCTCGTTACCGAACAACTTCCACTTTCTCGAGGGTAGGGAATAATGTGCTAATCCCGTTCGACCGGCCACTGCAAGACTCAAACCTTCGCTGTCTATCGCGGTGTACTGTAAACATAAATACACATATATGAATTAATACACAGTACAGACATTAAAAAAAAACTTTTTAAAATTTCAAATCTTTTTCATTAATGTTATGTAGCTAACAAAATTTATAATATTACATCTCTTTCATTAACACAATCGCAGAAAATAATGAAGTCAAATGATATGGAAATTGTCAGTAATTTATGTTTTCTTTAAAAATGCTATTATTATATTTACCCGAATCGGCCAATTAGAGCCACTGTACTCAGACGGTATAGGCACAACGAGCCACTGTTTGCAGCCGGCGAGTGTCTGGAGCATACTGTCGTTGGGCATTTCGGCGGCAAGATGGAAGCCCGAAGCGGTCGAGGATAATCCGGCGCCTAAATTTAAATACAGCCTGTCCTCGCCCTGAAGATACAGGTGCCCGTGATGGCCCATGCACGGGTTGATAGTCAGGGGGCTTTTAGCAAAGTCCAATTGAATTAGAGAGCGGCTTGAATTGGTCGCCATGTTGCCGTTTTCGTTGGTAACGGGAGATTCCGGGGATTCTCGCAGCATCCACAACTGATAGCCTTCGGCGGACCATTCCATCGTATGGATGTGCAGAGGATTATCGTGCGTCAGATCCACGCGTAGGCCGTAGTCCCATTTCAAGCTACAGAGCAACAGGGCGCCGAAGGTGCTCCACAGCGCTAAGCCGCCGCCTTCCCAAGCCAGAGCGATCGCACAACTGTCGGGCGTCCATCTGAGACACTTGACGCTGCCCGGTCGACCTGGGTAATCCTTGGAGGATAGACTCAGGGTGTGCGACATCTCCAAACTGCCAGTTGTTTCATCGACATAATATACGACGCCTTCCGAGCTGCAAATTAAAATATTTGTGTCACGATACGCTGAGTAAGAAATAATAGTTACATTTTATAATATACTATGTGGTGCTAAAAATAATACATGAACAATATTTATCTATTAATTTATAGAATTAGATTTAGAATTATTTAGAATTAAAAAAAACTGTACATTAAATTAATTAGAGAAACTGATGGAGCGTTACGAATTCGAGCACAACACTACGAAGAAATTGACACTTACTTTTGCCTGCCAATGGCAATCAGCCGATATTTATGATTAACAGCGGCGCAAGTAGCGTCGTCCAAATCCTGAGCCCAGATTCCCTGCACTTGATTAGGATCGAATTTCAAAGATTGAGCAGTGAGAAATGCAGCCTTGCCATTATTTAGCACAATAGCGAAACCTCCGACGAGAGGCGAATACTCGATATCGGTAACATAAATGTTGTTCTCCGTAAGTGGCACGGCCACCGAAGAAATTTGCTGATCAATACTGAACGGTATACGTCTCAGGTCCAGCGAATAGTCGCGATTCATGGTGCCGTCCCATTTGTGGCGCACCACATGGCTAGTTTTGGTCGCTACCATAAGCTCGTCTCGTATACAAACTAACGAACTGATCCCACCGTCGATCCAAGCCGACTTTTCCTGCAAAGAGAAAGCGAATTTAATTTTTCTTTTAAATTCCTCACGTTACGCTGGACGATGAAAAATGATCGGAAAACTCACGAAACTCAAGACGAGGGATGGAATGACTTCTTTGATAAATAATTCCGCACTATCCCGCTTCAAGCTGGTAACCGGTGAGTCTCGTTGTACGTAAAGTCCCCGACCCTCCGCACTGTTGTCCGACAGCCTGTAGAACAGCAGGTAGCTGTCCGACGTCGCGATGACCAGCATACTCGAGTCTGGTCTCCATTGCACCAAGACGTTCTCACCGTGTTGCCACAAAGAATTCGCGGACCGTCTGCTAAATACAATTGGCACACAGGGCTGCAAAAATCGTGCCAAAAATTTGCAATATTATTAAATATCGAACGTTCGAAGAAATTGCAAGCAAATCGCTTGTTGGCCTAAATTACTTGCCTTGCAGTACCAGATGACGAGAGCGTCCGCGGTGAGAACGGCGAACATAATTTTGTCCCGGTTGCACACCACTGCATTTATCTTGCCTTGCTCGCAGGTGTTGAGGACCCGCGGCCATCCTACGGGGAAAAACATGATTTTTCCCGCGAGAGCGTCCCGTCAATTCCTCAGATCTCCCTCATGTTTCGCCTACGTCGACCCTCGACGCCCGCAGCTTTGACAAGTATGAAGTAAACAGTTCCTAACCTCGACATAGCAGGCCAGAATACAGAACAGCTCGGGCGGTGGACGGTGACGAATGTGCTAAACGAATGCACTTTGCAGACCGGCGTCGGACGGTGTCGGGCGGCTTCGGGCTGCCTCGGCTACTCGGCTCGCCGCTTTAAATTCTTAAAAAATCCGATAGATAATGATAGAAATAGATTTTGTGCTTTCTTATGCTCTATATCTTTATTTTATACTTTCATTAATTAATATTGATTGTCACGTAATTTACATATATGTAACGGGGTAACAAATGGTAAACGATGTGCGAGCACGTTGATTCATAATCGGCGGTCTCGAGTTCGATCTTTCACCCCACGTACCTATAGTGTCCATAGTCGTTGCATCAATCGTACAAAAAAAAATTAATCAGTGCAGTATGAGATAATTATTTTTATAATGTTACCGTAACATATGTTTATTAGACGTAAATATAACATATTAGCGAATAATTTTAAAGTGTGAATGTTTTTCAACGTCAAATTATATTGATTTTTTTATATCAATTGTTAATGTTGCTGCAATTAACAATGTTGAAACAACGTTGAACAAATTGATATTAAAATCCCTCACCTGAGAACAGTACGCGGCATCGCCGAAAAACGGACTCGGCAGAATATTTCTTATTAAAAAAAACCACAAGATAGATAATATATATAAAAGGCGCAGTATAAGTAGAGATTCTTCACTCGTATTGTAATAAAATAATTTCTTTAAAGACGATCCAAGCTAGAGCTCCAAGATGAAAGTAAATAAAATACTTATATTTTGACACTTATGATTAAAACGCATCTTTATTAATATTTAAAACTTGTTTAAAACATGTTATATACATATAATTAAAATAATATAATGTACTAATGTTGAAATATTATAATATCAAATTCATTTATTTAATATTATCTGAGAAACATTATTAGAATGTTAAAAAGACATAAATTAAATCTTTCATGACGGAGAAAATAAAGAGCAGATTTCCTGTCACGGAATTATTGTGAATGAAAATCATTCCATTTTGCTATTCATTTTGGAGCAGTAGATTTCGAATCAGCAACAAATATTTGCTCTTTGCTTGGATGCATTAATTATCCTAATATAATAAATTGAACTTTGTTTTATGAGTCATATTTCTCTCTGACGTTTTGCATAGAAATACTATTAAAATATAATTACGTTTTATATACATTTTGATCTTTTTTGACTTGAATTATTCCTACTCTCGGATATTATTTTTATAATACAGTTTTATGCAATTATAGTATGATGAAATAAAAACAAATACGTAACACAAAACAAAGTTGAAATGGATGTTATTACCCGCCAGAGATATTCGTGGCTAAAAGTTCTACACGCTTTACGTATATAGAGGCGCCAATAGATGGGTTCCATTTAAAACGCAATATATCCATCACTCTCAGATTTTTCCTGCCCGCATGTTCATAAATGTGACATAATAAAATAAATAAAATTTCCGGGTTTGTTTAAAATGTTCATGCATTCACGACCGATTACCGATTGCGTCGTGCTGGTAAAAGTGCTGGCTGCAATCTTGCTTATTCTGATGTAATGTGGCGCAATTTTGTAACGCACATCACGAACGATAGTTTGCGACTAGCAAAATTCCTGAAAAGGCAATAAATTTTAAGCCGCATCTTACCTGATTGCCTTTTTTAATGCTTTGCCAATGTTTATATTTAAAATTCTCAAAACTTTTCAAACTTTCAACAATTGACGAAATATCAAGTAGTATGAAAAAAAAAGAATAAACTGCGGCGATACCAATTAAAATTCCAAGTGTTCGTTACAACTTATTTTCCGTTTTCTATTGCTAATAAAATTAGTATACCAATAAAACATATAACACACCATAATGCATGCCTAATTAATGCAATTTTATGTATTTTAATATTTATACATCGAGCATACAAACAACATCAATTAAATGAAAAAAAATAGCGAAATTAATTGGCGACGTTATTCTAAACATTTTTCACATTTAACAAAATGCCTGCACTCAAAGTGAAATGCTCTATCATTTAATGCATGTGTTAAGTGTATAGACGTAATCGCAATTTATTTATACATAAGAATTGAAATTATACGATGGAAGAAACATTCCTAAAAATCGCGTTAAACGACAGACAAAACAGAAATTAATATTGCAATAATTCACATGCAGCATAGAAAAAATAAATATAGGGAATATTGAACGTTATTCTAATTATTAATTGTTAACAATTTCAAATGTTCTACATTTATGACAATATTAAATTTCACGTGTTTTCCGTATAAATAATACGGAATCAATTTTTTTTTCTTCGTACGGGTTACAACGGAATAAAAACTTAAGGTTAGTTGTCACAATTACATTAATTTCCATTTAGTTAATCGCGATTTAAAATTCCACTGTATTCGCGCTATTTCTGTCATACGTACCATCAAATAAATTGCGCTTACGTATGTATTTTATATGCATTTTATCGAACACAGCGCTCTTTCCGTGCTTCGTGGAAATGCCGATGTGGCGTCCGGGCGGGTTGACAGGGAAGACAAGGAGTTTGGGTTTGCGTATTTGGTGATAGTGAATCACCGGCATCTCGTTTCCGCAGCTTCTTTATTTTCGCTCTTACTCGTCATCGCCTGATATTTATATGTATATATACAGAAAACCGTTAACCAATGTCGTTTGTAGAAGAATCGCGGAGGGAAAGGATAGAGATACCGAGTTGTTGCAAAAGTCATTTTCTTGCGTATCCACTTTCTGTTTGACGTTAGTCGAGAAAAGGAATATTTCGTAGAAAAAGTTCTTTTTTTTTCTTCCCTTCAGGATATTCGAATTTATCTTACCTATAATTAAATGGAAAGATAATTAGAGGAAACAACAGGTCCCATATACCAAAAAACGAAAAATCTATCTTTGTCAAGGCCTACTACCGTTGTCCTCTCTATTCTACGTCTCCTGAATTAATTAGTCTGAACGATTAATATAAAAAAGCTACCAAGAAGACAAAAATGATACGGACGTCTCGCCGCGATATATATTATTTTTCTTCTGGTCAGATCAGTTATAATCTACCGTAGATGTGAGAGCGATAAATGAGGTGTTTTCTTCAAAAGGATGATAAAACTTGTTGACAAGTCACCAATCAAGTAACGGTGTCGAAACGAAGAGTAATAATGACAATGTTTCTCCTCGAGATATCGGATATATACAGAATTTTATTTCCGTATAGTAATTAGAAAATATAATTAAGCCGCGCTAAATTATGTTGATGTTCGTTATGAAGTAGTTGGTAGGTGTACGTTGTTGTTTATACGATAGCTCGCGCGAAGTACGCTCCCTTCCTCCTTGGGCGACTCCCACGAGACGAAAAATACACATCGGCCAGTAGGGTAAAACGTCCCGTGCTCTTTCCTGCGAAACTCCTTGCGGTGAAAAAAATGTCGGAGCCATTTCGACAAGCGAAACGTCCGCGTGCCGAGGTAGCGCGGCAGCCGCGCGACCTCGCACGCACGAGGAGCCAATCTTCGCGATTGGATCGTCGCTCTCTCATTTCCGATCGTAGCTCGCGATAAAGTCCTCACGTGGAACTCCGTCGTAGACGATGCTGTCAAATTCGTCTCCCGCGAGTCGTGCAAAGGAGGATGAGTTACGTCGGCTGGTGTACGCCGTCGTCCGCCCGGCGGCATATTCGCACGAAAACTATCGGCGTATGCACGGAAACTATTACAATAGTTATTTCTTCTTCTGGGCTTTCTCAGCGGCCTTGGTGACTTTGCCGGCCTGATCCTTAAAGGTGACGGCCTTGATGACACCGACAGCTACCGTCTGACGCATGTCACGAACGGCGAAACGTCCCAAGGGCGGGAACTCCTGGAAAGCCTCGACGCACATGGGCTTGCTGGGTACCAGGGTGACGATGGCGGCGTCACCGGACTTGATGGCCTTCGGGTTTTCTTCGGTGGTCTTGCCGGTACGGCGATCGCACTTCTCCTTGATCTCAGCGAATTTGCAGGCGATGTGGGCAGTATGGCAATCCAACACGGGCGTGTATCCGTTGCTGATTTGTCCAGGGTGATTGAGCACGATGACCTGTACACAAAACAATTTTGTTGCATTAATTAAATATTTCACAATTTTTCACAAATGTTTTAAAGTTAATAGAATTTTGATTTTAATATTTAAACGTTAAGACACTCAGACGTACTCGACCATCATTAGGAAATTTCTGGTGGAAACCGCGAATGAGATATCAGGTTTTCATCACAGTGTCAAGGAGACTAATTGCGAGTTGCGCAATTAAGCGTAATGAGCATATACCTGTGCGGTGAAGTCAGCGGCACCCTTGGGCGGGTTGTTCTTGGAGTCTCCGGCGACGTATCCACGGCGCAATTCCTTAACGGACACGTTCTTGACGTTGAAACCAACGTTGTCGCCGGGCACGGCCTCCGTCAGAGCTTCGTGGTGCATTTCGACGGACTTAACTTCAGTGGTCAATCCAGCGGGTGCGAATGTAACGACCATACCGGGCTTCAGTACACCAGTCTCGACACGACCGACGGGTACTGTTCCAATACCGCCGATCTTGTACACGTCCTGCAATCATAAAAAGAAAAAAAACATTAAAACATCATTCCGTTTCAATAAAGTCAATCATTCATTTTATATCTCGTAAAAATCAGACGAATTCTGGCCATCAAGGGATTACAAAATCCTCCGGTGGAAACCACGAATGAAATTACAAAGATATCATCATGTAAAATTGCTCGTACAAAGATTGAGAATCGCGTGATTAAAAGGATATTTAGATATTACCTGAAGGGGAAGACGGAGTGCCTTGTCAGTCGGTCTAGTGGGCGGCAGGATAGCGTCCAGAGCTTCGATAAGGCATTTACCTTCGGCCTTGCCTTCCTTACGCTCCACGGCCCATCCCTTGAACCAGGGCATCTTGGCGGACACCTCCAGCATGTTGTCTCCGTGCCAGCCGGAGATCGGCACGAATGCAACAGCGGCCGGGTTGTAGCCGATCTTTTTGATGTAGGACGAGACTTCCTTCTTGATTTCCTCGAACCGGGTCTCGGAGTACGGGGGCTCGGTAGAATCCATTTTGTTCACACCGACGATCAACTGTTTGACGCCGAGGGTGAAGGCGAGGAGGGCGTGCTCGCGGGTCTGTCCGTTCTTCGAAATTCCGGCCTCGAATTCACCGGTACCGGCGGCGACGATCAGCACGGCGCAATCGGCCTGCGACGTACCGGTGATCATGTTCTTGATGAAATCTCTGTGCCCGGGAGCGTCGATAATCGTCACGTAGTACTTCGAGGTCTCGAACTTCCACAGGGCAATATCAATAGTGATACCGCGCTCACGTTCGGCCTTAAGCTTGTCAAGTACCCAGGCATATTTGAAGGAACCTTTGCCCATCTGAAAAGACATTATTTCAATCAGCCATATTCCATTTCAGATCTTAAATCTATTGTTGTCATTGGACGCGCGCGCATTTTAACATTTCGATATTACTGAAAAAGACAATGACATTCAGACACTCTCGGCCGTCAATGAATTCGAAGATAAATTCTCAGGTGGAAACCGCGAATGAGAAAAAAAAGGTATCGTCATCATGTCATGTAAAAAATTTACTGCTAAGCGTGCTTTTACGTCGTATAGAGAATCTGGCACATTACCTCTTGGGCTTCTTTCTCGAACTTCTCAATGGTACGCTTGTCGATACCACCGCATTTGTAGATCAAATGGCCGGTGGTGGTCGACTTGCCGGAGTCGACGTGTCCGATGACGACGATGTTGATGTGAATCTTCTCCTTGCCCATTTTGTATAGGTTTTTAGGCGATTTCTTCTACTAATACTCTGAAATCAAGAAATATCGAGTTAGAGAAAAAGGCTGGATTAAAAGATTCAGGCTTTTCTCGATCGCATTCCGTTCAATTCGCAACGATCTTTAATTCGCGACCATTCCGACTGTCCGTACCGAGTCAATTGGCGATCGCGACAGGCAATATGGAACCGAGCGCGGAACGTCCGGAGCGACCGAGGCTCCGGGAGGGAATTTCCGCGATTCGCATTCTCGAGGATCTCCGTCCTGCCGCCGCGTTGCGCCAGATGGTGCAATCGCCTCGTAAACACGTATCTCGAGTGCGCGCGAAGCGGGGCATTCCGGACGTCTCACCGGCGGTCTTTGTCCGCCGTCCACGTGGCCGAACGTGAATATTCGAGAATGGCAGACGGCCGCCATTTTGTAAGTGACGAGGTGGAGCGGCGGCGCGCGGTGTTGCCACGATCGTCGCGGCGACGCTGACGCTCGCGGCACGGCACCGTGTGCACGATGCCACGTTATTACGGATCAGTTCTTTTTTTTTCCTCTCTTCTCCGCGAGACTCTCGCCTACTCATCTGTTGGATGAAGAGATATGGACCGAGAGAGATTCGCGCACGACGTCGCCGCGGCCGCGGACGATTATCGGCGGCGAGCGAACGTGGCGGATCAGGTGGCCAAATATGCCGCCTCCTTTCGCGGTCCACAGCCAGCACGCGGCGGCACGCACGGTGAACGCGCGTGGAAAATTACGGGCGGAGAGGCACACGGAGTAGAGCCTCTCCGGATTGCCAATCACAGATTCTCCCGGACGGGATCATCGCCGTTACATCGCCGCGGCTCTTGCGAAACCGATCGTTATCGCAACGACAGAATCGTTTCGCGGAATTGTTCCCGGCGCGCGCGGAGCCCCGAGTCGCGATACCGCCCAGTTTTTTTTTCTTCCTCCACGCGCCTGAACTTATCTCACGCGAGACTATACTCGGCCGACGAGGTTTCTCTCCTCCGCCGTGCGAAACGCGAACGCCGCGCGATTTCTTCCGTTCGGACCTTTCTCCTCGAGGATTTTTTTTTTTACCTTTCGCGCAGCGGAAAGAAAGAACGCGGATCGCGGAATTTCGCGTCTCACGGGTCCCGGCTTCGGAGCAACGTCGCCGCCGCCGACATTTCCCGGTGATCGTCCCCCTCGTGGAATCGATTTCCAGCACATTCCAAAAGCCGCCGTGCAAGGTCGTCGCGTTGCACACGGCCTCCGGGCGAACTCGCGATTCCGAGAGAGGGAGAGAGAGGCGAGGGAGGAGGAGAGTCAGAGGAGAGCACCTTTAACCTCGCGTTTCCGGTTTTCTGGCTCCACCGTTACCGCACGCGTATCCTGCCACGAGGTATCGCGAATTTTTCGGTCGCGCGGCGCGCGCGCGAGCATCGCGAAATTTTCCATCCGACCCCGGTGCGGAAGTCTCTCGACGACGCGGAGCCGATCGCCGTCGAGTTCCCAGCGCTCTGACAAGCACGCGGCCGCCATAATGCATCCGGTCCGCTCCTCTCGCGAATTCGGACGCGTCCGTCGCCGCCACCCGTCGCCGGCTCGACACCGGCGTTTCCTTTTTCCCCCCCGTTTCGCGCTCGTCCGTTTTGCGATTTCGTTCCTCGCGAACGACGACGATGACGACGATCCCACGGGGAACTTGACGCTCGTCGTCGACACGCCGGTTACGTGCGCGGATGCCAACAGCCGGCGGGAACGGACGGAAGGAGAGGCACGGCCGACCGGCCATGCGGCACTTGTGCCGCATATCGACGAGACACACACGTCCCCCGGGCGAGAGAATTTCCTTGCAGGCGCGGCGGACGAAATCGCGAAACTATACGCACAGCACACCACGCCGCGGCCCCGGCCGCCGTTCTATCCCGTACCTGCCGTCCGATGCCGTGTCCACGGATAAGATTCGTCGGATAAAAGTAAAACCGGTGCGCGAACTACGAACAACCACTCACCTCCAGTTGCCACGACAGAAAGAGACCGTGCTTCGCCGAGTGACATGCGCATACGGGACGGTTCTCGGGTCTCGTAGCCTCGCGCCCAGCGGTCACATCCAGGCGGGCGGCGGACGACGCTGGCGCCGCCGGTCGCTCGGCTCGCAGCGCCGCGCGCCTTGCCGCGCAGCGCGTTGTCTGTCGTCGCGCGCGGCGGACACGATTGATTTTGACAACGCGACGAGCGGCGAATTCGCGCGCGTGGGACTCGCGAGAGTCGCGTTTCTTTCGTAATCATCGACGGTCTTTCCGTGGTCTCTGAAACGGAAATTGGCGACCCTCTCGCTCTCCCTTCCCCACCCCCTGGGGGCACCACCGTTCGGCAAAAACGCGTCTGGGCTCGAGGCTTCGGTTACGCAGCGCGCGCGCGCGCGCGCGCTCGCCGCGCACGCACACGTGGACGCTCCGGCCTCGTGTGTATGTATATGTGCACGCGCGCTCCTAGGATAATGCGCGCGCGAGTGTGTGCGTGCGCGCGTGACGAAATAGAGAGAGAGAGAGAGAGAGAGAAATGAAAGACAGAAAAAGACGGACGATAGGATGCGAGCGAGCGAGACAGCGCGCTCGCCTCGCGCTGCAATCGGATATGCATTTATGCGTCCGTGCGCAACGTCTGATGCGACTCCGACATTGCGAACCCGCTGCATTGAAGCATTCGAAGCGCGAGGCACTTAACGTCGAACCTCGACGAGTCCTTCCTCGTGGTGCCACGATCGGGTTCGCGAGCGGAGTCTGACCGCGACTTGCCGCGACTGTCCGCGTCCGCGCGGAGAGTTTGTACCCGCCCTTTGACGCGCCGCCGCGTGCGAAAGAACTTTCCTCGCACGTTGTGTCCCGCAACGTTGATCAAAGAGTGATTAGAGTGACTTCGATCAAACTCCGATCAGCTTAATCGGTTCACTGATGTCCATCTCTATCAATATAGATTAACTTTAATCTCGGTTTAATTTTATTCTTTAGTTTTTTCTTAGAAAAAAAAAATGAAAAGTTAAATCAGGCTTGACGTTAAAATCTATACATTATAATTGTATATGGAAATGGGCAAGTCAATCAAGTACAATTGCCTGGGGCTATTTTCTAATAATTCTAACAATAAAAAAGAAGTAATACAGTATTGCAGTAAAGTCAGCACGATGATAATGATTAACATTTGTTCTCTGGTGTGATGTGTATTACTTAAAAACCGCAAATATTTTGACCATCGGTTTCCTCTTCAATGCACAAATACGATGATCTTTGATAATAATAAGAACAAATAATGTTAATCATACTCTAGCTTTGGCTCTGCCACAGCTATTACTTCTTTTTTTATTGAATTAATTCTCGGATTTTTTCTATCTCATTATTCGATGTTTCTAATTAGACATTAAGTACATCCAATATTGAAATGGAAAAGCTCCGATTCTAACTCCGTGTATGAGATGGCATTTAAACCCGGGACCCGTCGACCACAAGTCAAGCGTTCTCATACAGAGTGTCACGCGTCATCCCGATTAATTATTTTATTCTCGACATTCTCGTTAATGAAACAGTAGATTGTTTGATCGAAATTAATCGAAATTTGATCGAAGCCCCAATCTAATATCTGGCTACGGTTCTGTCGCATCTTTTTTCATACCTACCTTGGGGATAAAATTCGATGGAACGAATCTTCATGAATGGCTTCAGTCTCTCGGCGTTTCTTGACAGGAATTCTTCATTTCTAGAATCGCTGGTTACCTCGATATTTTCTCTCCCTTCTTTTCTCTTATTAAAAAAAAATTTGTTTATCAATACGAGATTTCCTTAAATTTTATTTTTGTCCGAAAGTATAGAGAGCACGAAAAGAAGCTGCAATAAAATTGCGATTTTACATACCGAATCTTTGCGTCCATCTCTTCGATTGCCGAATCAATAGATACAATATTTCAGCTCGCTCTATCAACGCGATCGATAATTCGGTCATCGAGATAAATGGTGAAAGGTAAAAGAAAGATTCCGCACTCTCGGTATTAACGGTATTTGTGATCCTTTAAATGTTACGAACATGCCTAACGACAATGACATTCTTCTGCAGCCATGGACTTTTGTTCGCAACGGCCTGTATTATAACGGTATCCATTACAAATCTCTGTAATTGTCGATGTTACAACGCGAACTTACCTATAACTTGCCTGACGACAATGACATATTCTCTCGCAACGGATCTTCATTCATCTCGGAACGCATCGTGTCTTCGCGCTTTGATGAATTCTAATGTCTAATCTCAAAGCCACGTAGACCAAAATTCTCAGGCTCGAGAAATCGAATTTCTTTAAAAAAAAATCTGTCGGCATTGCAAAAAATTAAAGCAAATAAAATGTTGTAAAACTAATTAAAATTCAACATCGTTAATTAAGGAGCTTTAAATAGTAATTATAACTAAGCTGTTAGATAATAATTATGATTAAACTGTTAAATATAATAACTATCTCGAGACCACCGCGCGAATTGCTTGATTAAATTCCATATAATATAAATATAATATATAACATAAATAAAGTTCGCTCAATATCGCATTTCTTCTATCGGAAACTTTTATTCTCTCTTCTTTGAACGCGCCTTTTCTTTTATTAGAGAAAATGGATTTACGACTTTCACTGTATTTGTAGGACTTTGCGGTTTAGATATTTCAGTTAGGTATACGCGGTTACTGTGATCGTTCCTATATACACAATAAAATGGTCCTGATATTGATTATTGATAGACAATCAAATATACTTCTGTGAGTCATGAAACGTACGCGCGCGCGTGTGTGTATATTTGTGTTACTGTTTTCATGTCACATGTACTCTGGCTTCTTACGCGGAAATTAATGACTCATCGGAAATCGCGAATGAATAGCATCCGTGCTTGCGCAAGATGATGTATGTATTTAGAACATCACTTTTGTAATTCTTCATTAACTATCTAAGCGAAAATGTCGATTGTAAAAATTTTAATTTTATATATACATACTGTATACACACAATTAACGATCAACTGCACATCTCTTAACGTTAATAATTAAAACTGAAGAATTTTAATTAAATTTGTCTGAATTATTTAATATTAAATATTTATCCCTTGATGTAAGAAAAGAATTTTCTTGATTTCTAAAAATGTCACTCCAACAGGAATTTTAATATCTTTTTTGCCCCAAGATAAAAACGTTAAATAATGTATTCATTAAATACATATTTAATGAATATTAAATACTCTTAAATA